TGGAAGATATTCAATTTATATAATTATTCCATTTGGTTACTCTCTCTCTCTCTAATGTGACTTGCGGTTTCATCTGAACCATCTCTGGATAGTTTAGAGACCTTGCAAAGTAGATAATTTTCTACACATTCTCAAACATGTCACCTATCTCTCTGCATGACTCAGACTTTTTAATCTGCTTTTGCTCTCTGATTACGTGGCTCAGTTCCCAAATTTGAATTCTCCACTCCCACATCGTGCTCTCGTTGCTTGCCTTACACCGTCTCTCTCCATCCACCCTGTTATCACCCCAACTTCACGTCTGCTGACACCCCCGCTCTGCCTTCAGACAGGAGCCTGCACCTGACACCGCCCTGATTCCCTCTATTTTCTTAAAACCTGCATCAAATTCCTAAAAGGCTAAAGGCATATATTCCCGGTATCTTCTGGAGTGGATAAACAAACTTTGTCACAGAGTAGGTAAGTCAAAACCAGCATGATTAGCAGCGAGGCCAGGAAGAATCCCAGTTATGAAGTCATGCTGGGAACCCATTTAAAACAGGTGAGGAGTTTGGGAAGTGGGAATGGCCGAGGCCTTCCCCGCTGGGAACCGAGGCAGAGCATTTCTCTCGCATTGGCGTGGCAGTTTGGGGGGCCGGCAGCGAGACCTGATAGACAGGTACAGCAAGTTACACAGCCCCCCGCGCTCCCATCAGTGCCCAGCAGGCAAAATGTCTTAGAAGTATGCACAGCTGCTCCATCCCTACACAATGTTCGCTTGTGTATACTCTCACCCTAGTACCACTCTGCTTCACAGGGATCAATCACAGCTCTTAGGAGCTAGTCGAAACTGCCCTCCTAACATCAGCAGAAGGGTTTTACCTTTCCTCTCTGAAGGTCTGAATAAGGTATCAGGGAAGGTAACAGATGATTCCAGATCTTTTGGATAATCTTCTTTAATCTCATGAAATTGTGGTATTTTAGCTCCCGTAAAATTAGATTTGTCAAAGATGTCAACAGCAATAACTAGGAAAAAAAAAAAAGTTCCCCATAAAATTAACTTCAATTTCTTCAATCACAATATTGTAGCAAAATGAAACATGACTGCAAGGTTAAAATATCTGCACAATACAGAGAAGCAATTTGAATGAAAAAATATGAAGTCAAATCTGACTCCTCTCAATATCTTAAATGACAACCAAAAGCTTATGTTTCAGCATTATGTTATAGTTCTAAAACTACAGCTATATATGTATTGCATAGGCAATAGAAAGGAATTCACAAGACAGCATTTCATACTAGGAAAACAGTACTGCAAACGCTGGCAATATAAAGATGGCATGTTCCAGTTCCAGACTTGCCTCTTGTCCAGAAGGCGAGAGCTGCTGTTTCAGAAATATACTTTTTTTACATCTGTTAAATTGCAAAGTCAGCTAGGCAAAGAAAATAACCTGGATTTTACCTGGGAATACTTCTTAGCCCTACTCCAGTTCTCCTTCCTCTACACTAACAGTTACTCTCTGGCTCACCTCATCAGCCTCGGCCTGTTGTGTAACCCCCAAAATATTTAAAAGCAGCTGAGTTGGCCTTAACTTTGCCATTTTAGAAAAGTCACTGAGTGCCAATTTATATGTTATAATAAAAGCAAGAAGCTGGAAGTCCTGAGGGTAACCCTACACTGAAAGCTGTGATCCACAGCAAGTTTCTATATGAAGAAATATCCAAGTTAAGATCTGCAAATTCCCATTCCTTTCCTAGTCTCTAAACAGCTCCCAGATGAGCCATTAGGAAACTCCATTAACACCATGTTCACCTGGAAAAACCGTTCAAAAGAAAACAGAACCCATTCAGTGCAGAATTGCCTCATCCCTCCTGCGCTAGCTCCTTTTTACTCAGGAAAACTGGCTGAAAAATCAGAATTTATAACCTACAGTAAATACTTTTTTTTTTCATCTTAGTTCAGTTGTTAGATTTTTCTCACTGTGAAGATGAAACCATTTTGATTCTGATATTTCTAAATCAAAAGGAAAAATTTTGTTCTGGATTACTAAACAGAATCAAAGTATTTCAGTTTAGCTCATCTCAACAGTAATAATTCCCCTCTGGGGTGGATGCAGGACTTAATACAATTTGCAGTTTGAATGTCTCATGTGTTGGCTTTTCTCTAGTAGCGAGAATATGCTAATTTCCCTTGATGAGCTTGGTCCATGTGGCCGTGGACATGATGCACTCTCAGGATAAGGTTGGTAGGTAAAGTTAATTTCACTTATCATACCAACTGGTGCAGCTGGGAACGCTACTTAGGTATCTTTGAAAGAAAAAAACGGAATTTGAGAATCATAGAAATGTCACTTGGAAGAGACCTCTGTAGGTCACCCAGTCCAACCTCCTGCTCGAAGCAGGATGATCCCCAACACTGGATCAGGTCAGATAATTGGTAGCTGGTGAGAAAATGGAATAGGGAGCGGGAAGAAAAGGGGGAAGAGGCAGACCAGGCATTTACAGCCTGTGCAATGTGGAAAGGTTAGTGCTTAGCTGTCACAGAGAAGGAGATTAAAATGTGCCATAAAACTGAATCGAATGGGTGGGCTTGTGTCTAGCAGAATTAATACTTTTAGAAACTGGGTTTGTCTTCTGAAAGGTATTTTGTAGGTTCACAGGTGGCGCAGCCCAGCACCAGCGAGCTGTGAAAATCAGGGGTATATGGTCAATAGTGGTTTTCTTTTTATACTGACATAAATCTTCAGGTGGCGGAGGGGTGGTTCTTTCAAAAAAGTGACCTAGGATTTCAAACTATATTAGGCGGTCTCATAAGGCACTACCGCTGCTTACAAAAGTCCTTGCTCTTGTCTGCAGACCACTGTGGCTAACGAAATGCCATATGCAGCAGTGTGTCCATCCCCTGCCAGGGACATCAACCTAAGCTGTCGCTGGAGCTCAGCCCACAGGGAAAACAGATGACACTGCAGCTTCACGGCCACTCAGAGATACAGATCAGTGCTCAAACTGACTTGAAATGAATGTGTTGACTAGATTGCAAAATACAAACATTTTGTTTCTCAGTGGATATTATAAAAAACAATAATATCTAGCACATTTTTAAAGCTTTTCTAATACAAAATGGCAGTTTTCAACACAGATACTCACTCATGTTAGTGGTAACGATGACAAAAGGTCTCATGTAGGTTTTCTTCATGTTCTGGGCCACATTGTTGAAATATTCCTCATAACGCCTTAGCAGGTGAGCTGTGCCACCCTCCGTTCGCTGAATTTGTTCCCAGTGCTCCTTGTTGCTGGGATCCAGCAGAGCACTACCCACTTTGATAATATTCTGAGAAAAAAATACTAGCCTAAATTATGAGGCAAACAAAGCCTAGGCAATCAAGTGAAGCATTGGATTTCAAGCTTGGAGAACATTGCAAATGATTGGCATTACTGCCTCAGGTGAGCATATAATGAAACATTTTAATCCAGGCATGTTCCACTGCAGCTTTATAAAAATATGCACACCAGTTACTTACCTCGAGGTTGTTTTACATTAAGGAAATCCCTTCAAACCTTTTATAAGCAAAGTAAGTCAAAATTGGAGGCTATAAAGGAAAAAAGTAGACAGTTTTCTTAAGACAGGAAACCTATTAAGAAAATGCAGAAGGGAAACCTAACCATATTTTCTTTGTCTCAGAGAGATGACAGACAGGAAAAGCAGAGTGCTTGCTATGTACACTAAAGAACACACCCAGGTAAATCAAAAGAATATGATATGTTAAAACCAAAAGAAAGCCATCAACAGCAATATTATTTTCTGTCCTTTTTTCATTTTTGTTTTATCTTGTTGATTCTTGGCTAATTCTGGAAACTTACATGCTGAAGAATGAAAAGAGCAAATATTAACTTGCATATACAAGCTTGGAGACACATAAGAAATTATGTTATTCTCCCCCCATTTTTATGTGACTCACAAATGTTGTTAAAAAAGAGGTTCTAGGCAAGGACCTGCCCCCCTTCGGCTCTTTGGTACAAGATTGAACACAGCACTCAAAGGAACCCTTAGGCAGAATGGAAAAAAAGGCCCCATTAAGAGCATTAAATGGCTTAAATGAGAACGATGAAGATGCTGAGAAGTTTTAATCTTGGTGCACACATACGCTACATTGTTATGTCAAAATTTAACTCCTAACTGAGGTCAAATCTGAGTAAATTACGGTAGATCTTTGATAGTAAGTGGGTCTTTCACGAATGCTCAGACTAGCGGAAACCCTCTGGCCTGCATTTCCACTTATTTGTATGTGCCTAAATCACTTGGAATAACGGCAGGGTGCGGGATCGCTTTTGGTGCACCAGCTCTCTAATAGATGTGATTAAAAAGTTTCAAAGTCTGACTGTAAAAAAATCTTTGAGCCAGTAACTAGCTAAATACAACTTTGTTTTAAAACTGAAGATAGACAGGATTTCTGATCTCATGCATGTTTTCTGTAAGGAAATACTTAAGCTGGAAATGATAGGCCAGGTATGATACAGATACAAGGACTTACTCATTTTTCATATTTCCTATAAAGATTTGCAAAGAGATTGCAGGAAATCCAGTGTGAAATCAAACAGAATAAACTGTTCTCAGAATAAGTTCACTATGCATTTAAATGAAAGTGATCAAATGAGGCAGGTTTTCCAACAAAAATGGAATATGGTAGACAAAGCTCTTTCATCTAGGAATAGCACATCAATTTTATTTTTTAATTTGGGAAATTTTACTTTTGGATGTTGTTTATTATAACCATGCTTTCTATGATATATGTATTCTGTACACACGTGTGCATGCGCATGTGCACGTGGACCCCCCCCCCCAAACATAACCAACTTCCCTTTCTAAACTGACAAGACTGACTAATTTGTGAGAAACACTAAATAATTGTGTCAAATTTACTCCATCTTGGTCGAAGACAAATTCAATTATCAATTCCCATGTAAACATCTAAGTAGCACTGTAAAGCTCAACACAAGCTCAACACAGTATACAGTGTCTCTCTTACTTCATTGAATTCCACATCCCTGGTGGCGGCCAGGTCAAACCCTTGCTGCTGGCTCTCATACTGTAGGACCCTGATCATCATCTGGTAAGCTGTCCTCACGTCATTCCCGTACAAGCTGCTTGTGTACTTGGTGGCATTCTGCAGCACTTTCACAATCCGTATGGTTTTGTCTCCGTCCAGTTTGGACTCATTGCGGTATAGCTTTTCATTCTGAAGCGGAGACAGGAATGAAGAAAAAACCCAAGTGTCTTAAGCACAAAAATAATGTTTTTTTTTTCATTCTGATTACAAAGACATTCTCTCCATTATCTAGGGAATTTTGACACAAAGGAGTCATTTGATCCAAATGGAGTTTGTCCTGAGAAAGTGTGGACTGGACACTGCAATGCAAAAAATGACTAAGAGCCAGAAAAGGACGGGGCTGTGATGGGAAATGCAGGGTTGAAAGTCTAGGTCAAGAGACGGAGTGTGGGGACATCAAACTGCAGAATGAACTCATGATCACTTATAAACCAAAATCAAAAGTTGTACGAGATTTTCTGCCGGTAAACATTATGCGCTTTAGTAGTGCTGAAAGAAATTAAGCAATAGATGAACAATTAGCAACAGGGTAACACAAACAAACTAAGAAATTATTTCTTAAATCCAAGGGAAAATTGCAGCGAATCACCAAGAAAGAGCATTGGGCTAGATCATCATCTATATACATCAACACTGTCTATAGGAAGTCAGTGAAAACATGATAACTCATACCAAATGCAGATTTGGAGTAAAGTGTCAATAGTCACTGGATACTACAGTGCATACTTCAAAATCTGGCCACTGGATAAGCAGCTATAAACATATCATTACCAGACTTCACTAGACTCACTAGATCTGAGAAATTACATGTCTGTGGATTTCGCTGTGTCCCAAATTTGTCCATTAGATGTAAATAATACTAGGTCTTGACAGGTTAATCGGACTCTAGGGTACTAAATACAAGAAAATATAGCCTACCATGATTTTTAGATCCACAAAAGTGGTGGTGGTACAGTTAAAAAGCTCGGGAGGCAGCCAGCCTTTCTCATTGTTACAATGTCGAACTGCATTCCCTGGAGGAAACAAAGCATTAACAAAAAACAATCTTCTGAACTGTTCTGGATAAATTTACGTAGAACTCTACTTTCAGTTTCCTTAGAGAACTGCACATAGCTCACTTTCCAAACTGGCACTCCTGTCTGAGGAAACTTAAGAGTTTACTGATGTTCCCGAGTCATTTTCTCCAAGCCTTAGGGAAAGGGAGGCAAGCTGCAGACCTGCCTGACCACTCTTAGCCTTGCTGCTCTCATGTTCGCTGACGAATTTGGCAATTTTATGAGAAAGATTGAGCACTTCCTAAATATTTATGAAAACATACCCTGCTCAGATTTGGGTGTAATATAGGAAGCTTATATAGGAAGACCTCCAAGATATATGCTATCTTCATGTCCAAACCTTTAAGCACTGTCAGCATCTTAGCACACAGCACATGGTGAACGCCTAAACCAACACACAGAATTTCCTTTTCCTAATTGTGAATAGTTTGCAAGCAGCTTATTATTTAATTGAATATAGTACTTTGTATGATTTGTCAAATCATTTTTATAAATGATTCTTGGCTGTGGATTCTTCACAGTGAATTACAGATAATAAATTCTAAGCTTGCACTAAGTTTAACTTTGATTGGACACATTGCATGTGTCTAAGTAATTTAATTATGAATGTCTAAATAACAGAATCACAACTAGTAGAATCAGATCTAATTATATTATTTCTCTTCCCTGACAGGTGGATACAATTAAGCCTCAGGTTCCTTACTTGAATATTCATTATTATACAGCATACTTTCTTTGAATGGTCTGTAAAATTCACTTTGAGTGTACAATTTCTAAATGTATCTTTGCCTGCTAGGCTATTTCCTAGAAAAGACACGGGGGTCAACCACAAAAACAGTGCAAATTTAGTGAGAAAAGTTATATTAATTCAACTTCATACTGTTTAACAAGGTAAATATTTTTTATTAAAAAAAATCAATTCAATCCCCTAAAATCTTTAAAATTGGAACTTGTTTGACTATAAACCTTCTGCACACCTACAGTCAGTGACGTACCCCCGGTAATATTTGCAAAAGTTACATAATCAGTTATAATTTGTTGAACCTGAACAGTGCTAGCAGCAGATAAAAGTCACCAGACCTAGAACTGAGACAGAGGTTTCATTTCCCACAGCACAGTCTTCACAAAAGATTGTAAACATTGTTTGCAAATCTGCTTTGGTATTCTGTGAGATAAACATTATCAGGGACACGCATAAAAAACTAGATTGTCATTCGCTTGCAGTACAAAATGACTTGCACGCTTGACAAGATATGTTTTTCAGCAATCCGAATGATGGAGTAGAGAAAAACTGGTGTAAAAATGAGAGTTCTTTTGTAACTCTGAGCTCTATTAGCCAGTAATGCCAGGAAAAGCAATCAGCACATAAACGGTTTTCTTCATTTTGTCTCTGCCCAGAGGAGTTATATTGCCAAAGATCCTGTCATTGCCATTAGAAACTAAAAGTTACAAGTATAAGAATTGCTTGATAAATAGAAAACAGAAAAATTGACTGTGCAAATACAGATTCAGACTTTTGTTCTTTAGATGTGTTTATGTATGTGCTGCACTTTTGTATTTACTTTTTGCTATAATTCCAAATGTGTTTCAACAGCTCTTGAGTTTCTCTAGGTAAACTTTTCATCTTGTGACTCGCATAAGCTATGCTGTAATCTCTAGATTTAATGAATTAACGCCTTACCCTATGTACACATTTTTTTCTCTCTTTTTTTTCTCCACACAGGCATGTAGATAGAATTGTTAATGTTTTACCCAGGGAACTTACCCACTGATCCCTTAGGACATGGCACAGCAGCTGGCTGGCCAAACTTGGTCTGTGGCCACCAAATACCAGCCTCGAAAGCTTTGGGACACCCATTATAAATTACTGAAAGCAGAAAAAGAAACGATGCAATTTTTCTGACAAGATAAAATCACAGAGCAGTAACGAAGAGATAGTTACACCTGCCAAAAGGACCTTCAAGGAGTTCCCAAGCCAAGTCAGGACTTTTCTTTCTCTGCAAGGCCTTCCAAGCTGCAGCCCATCAGCTGCTCCTTTTCGACCGCGCCATCAGACAGATGCAGGCAAAGGAAAGCTCGGGATGATTAGGGGACTCTGGATCTCAGGTTTGCCTATCTCTGTCTGCTCCTTTGTTGTGGGAAAGGGCTGCTCCTTCATGTCACCCACACACAGCTGTGAGATGACTGCCACCAAAGCTTTGTGCTGATCAGAGGAGAAGGGCGTGGGAGGAAAGGCAGAACTGGTTTGCAGTGACTGGCCGTGGGACCGCCAGAGGGCACTCGGCCCGTGGCATGGCCTCCACGGGCAGAAGGCGCAAGGGCTGCTGCCGATCCCTTCAGTTGTGGCACACTAATGTAGTACTGCCCCAGCAGACGAAACCAAGTTTCTAGCAAAATCAGCATTAGCAAGTTTTGCTTCTCCCCCAACTTCTTAGCTAACTGTATTTCCATTTGATGGAAATTACATGAAATTTTATTATTTTTCTCAATCCTTGTGAGTCATATTGGCACAGATTCAGGAGGCGGGGGGCGAGGTAAGGCCACTGCCGCTCCCATTACCCCCGTCAGAGCCACCCTGCCTGGTTCACGTGCATCCCAGGACGCAGCTGCAAACCCATCACCTCACGCTCGCCTGTCTCCCCACTGCCAATGGCTCCAGTCTGATAACTACACCCTGACTGATCAGCAGCAGCGCCGGATGGGAGGTACCTTCACAGCCCTTGGTGGTAACCTCAGCAAAAGGGTTGTCGCAGCGGTTGCACTGCCGCCCTATCACTCCAGGTTTGCAAGGACACTGTCCTGTCTCCATGTCGCAGGTGCGCGTGTAGGAGCCGGAGGGGAAGCAGTCACATGGATAGCAGGTGTCACTGCTCTGGGGCTTGTAGTAATTTGCCTAGAAAAACAGAAAGGATAGGCACAAAGTTCTTTGCTTTTATTCCAGATTTCCTCTTGTTTCTGAAGTCCTACTTCAGCAGCATGCATCAGAAAAGACTTTCCAGTTACCCAGATAGTACGCTGCTAGCTGCTTCACTAGAGCACAGGATAATAATAAGACTATTATTAAGAGAAAAATAACAGTTATAAGAAGCGTATTCTGCTGCTGTGACTTGCAACAGCCCAGGCGATCAGGCAATCAAAGGCAGGATTGCACTGCTGCCCTGTGCCGTGGGCACTGGGGATTCAGACCACCAGTGCAGGTTGGCCAAGAACCTGGCCCACGTTATTCATCCTGTGCTCGCTGCCTGTGCCAAGCAAATGCATTCTTGGAGGATTTGTGGTTTTCTCTGCCTTGCAGTTCTACTCTACTAGGGCATGAGCAAACTAATAGGAAAACTTCCTGCACTGTCCATTTATGCCTTATGTAGAGGGTGGAGAGAAAACTGTAATCACATATTCAAATCACATCTTTAAATGCTTTTGATCTGAGGCCTATGTGATTGCACAAGACAATGGTATTGGCACTCCATTGACTCAATGTAATGTAGCTGTTGCCATGTGTTCTGCTGTCATTTAGGAAAGACATACTGGGCCAGTATGTCACTGCCACCAGTTTAAACAGGCACAACTGCTCTATCATTCACATTTATTGCAACACCTACTGTAAAAACACCGTTATAAAACCTATGGGAGGAAGATGGCTCCCATCCTGGGTTTACCTTCTGTCCCTATGTGTCTGCAGCAAACTCCTGTTAAACTCGACAGAGCTGTCTCTGAGGAAAGCATTTTACCTCTCAAATTTAGCTCAGTCTCCTAAGTAGCAAGGCCTTTTGCTGGTCCACTGCACAGAAGAGAGTTTCACCCAGTGGGACTGAGCCGTTTCATGGCTATTACTCACTTGTGATACAACAAAATACTCACTAGCACTCCTCTGCTCCCAGGTCTGATCTCCCTCGATAAATTGGGCTCTACTTCAGAGAGATCAGAACCCAGGCTTTCTCAGTTTCTCAGTTTTCTCAGCTTCGCTTTCCAAACGCAAATAAGATAAGAGCTGCACAGTATGATTTTGTGAAGGGTAGCGCCAGCAAAATGTTTTAGGTAAAGATTAACTATATCATGAACATACATAATACAAAGCACAACTATGTGTACTCCGTTTCAGATATTCAGTTGTATTATTAGTGATATAGTTATTTTTTAACCTAAAGAAATTTTGACTTGACAGGTCTCTTTTGCTTACCTTGCAGTGGCATTCTCCATTAGTCTTATTGCAATCAGGATCAAACCCTTTACTAGTCTCACAGTTACAGGGACCACAAATGGGATTTCCCCACCAGCCTCTGGGACAAGGCAAGTCAATCCTATAAAAGAAAATCACATGGAAATCACATTTTAAGCGTATGCTTGAAAGGTGGGAAAAAAGGGCTTAGGGCCAAATCTGAGTCCCAGATTCACACGTAGGCACTGCCCGGGCAGGCTGCAGAGCCCATGCGGGAGTGTGCTGGCAGTTAAGCAGTATGCACAACTGAGGAAAGCGCTGAGCCTGTGCCTTGGATCTGTTTACCTGCTATCATAGATGTAACCGAAGGGTACAGTTCCACAACAGTTTATACCTAAAGGAGAGCTGCTGCAGCGCTGCCGTTCCCCTCCCTGCAGGTCCACACGGTCCTGTCCTACCCCTGTCGTTGGCACCGGTGCTTGTCTAGCCTCAGAGCACACTAAGTCAGGGTGTGAAAATGACTGCAAGCTGACACGATGTAAAAAAGGCACTATTTTTAGCCAATATGGCTTTCTCAACCAGCTCACCACAGGGCTAGAAAAGCACTGTCACAAGGGAGTGGGAAGAAATGTGTGGCTGGGGACATGGAGGAGAGAACTATGGCAGCTTCGCTTCAGACTAATTGAAAATGTCACACACCTCTGTAGGCTGCATAAAATACTTTAGTGGGGCATGAGCTGTTACTGCTGCTGAAAGAAGCACTCTTACCTGCCTCCTACCCTTGGCCGTTGTTCCTGCCCCACGGAGCAGCGGCACAAATATGCATAGGCTGTGCATCAACCCAAAGGCCATTGCTGGAAGATAACCCTTGTTTTTGCTGGGTTCTTTCTCTTCTGGGTGAGTGTCTGAGCTGGTTCAGCTCACAGCTGCCCCAACCCTTGTGCTGGCAATGACAGCTCTGGGGAAATGCTAGGGCTGCACAGACCTCTCTAGCTGGAAGTGTTCACCAAGCGAAAGCCTGAAGGACAACGTTCCCAAGCCCATGATTAGCAATAACGCACAAAGGAATCCCCTCCCTGCTTATTGACAGAAAAGCTGCTGGCTGTCCATCTCAAAGGCCACGATGAATTCTGCTTATGGTAAGTGCAATGGTTTGTATTTCTATCGTTTATAATATGGAAAAGACAATTGTGCACTTGACATGATGTCAGCAGACAAGGACAAGGGACAACCTCTCCGCATTGCTATTCCAGAGGAGTGAAAGATGAAGTTGGCAACATCATGGCCAGTATTTGCAGGCCAATACAACAAAAGGTGGAGAAAGAGGATTGTAGTTTTCAAAAGGAAGGAAACGTCTCACGAGCTATTCCTAAATGGACAGACAAATGCGCTTCATTTGCACATCATGACTGGCCCATATTGCAGTAAATCAAAATTCTGTCTCAGGAATAAGAGGAGGCTGGTTGCTGAATGCTTATCTGAGACGAAGAAGCTTGTGATGAGGGAACCGGCAGGCTTCCACCACACAACAGGACTTAGACCTAGGCTGCACAGAAGAGAAGTTTTTTTGCCAGCCCAGGAAGTGGACCCAACCTGCAAAGCCATTTTATCTGGCCAGGCACCCTAAATGGGTGCATTGCTCTGTCCGTGTGCTGGGGGAGCTGAAAGAGAGGGGCAGAGCAAAACCACGCCAGGTCTGCCAAAATGGACAGGTCAGATGCAATGTTGCGTAAACAGAGCGTTATTGACTTAGACTCTGAACTGCTGATAAAGGGAAGTGGCCCATGAGTATACGGAAATTCACCAGTCCTGCTCTCTGGGAAGAGAATTCAGGAGCGCCCAAGGGCAGGGGACCTGCAAATACCAACTACTACGAACACTCAGATAATGCCAGGGAAGATAACTGAAGAAGGAAAAGAAAGAAGGGGGGCTGCTGCCTTTGGAGACAAGGTACCTGGAAGGATCAAGAAACCAAAGACTAAAAAACAGTCTCTTACTTGCTCTCGCAGTACTGTCCATAGTAGCTTTGTCCACATTCACAGGTGTACCCATGGGATGAGCTGGGTTTGTGCACGCACGTGGAGACATGCTCGCATGGGTTCAGGTTACACACATCAACACAGTCTCTCCCAAAGTACCCTGGGGAGACAAGGTCATAAAACTACAGAAACCACTGTAATTTATGATTTGCATTTCTCCAAAAGACCATCTATTTTAAGCTTATACACTAATAATACATCCTCAATAATCAGTAGATTCCCCCCTGAGATATACTGTCAAAAAGAAGGTACTCTTTTTCCTCTCAGCAAAAAAGATAGATAGTGTTCTTTTTGACAGTCTGTTAACATGCTTGGGACACTCTTGGGTCGTTGGTTCCCAGTTTTATATTCAAGGCACGTGTTACAGATAGTTTTGTATTCTCTCCCTGTGTGTATGGGAGGTGACTATGCTGGGTGCTGACAGCATGTGCTGGGTACATGCATCAAAAGAGAGAAAACATTCAAAGCATCTCTATTAGGATGCAGGGTATGAGACAGAAATTGAACAGCAAGAAAGACTGGGAAAGAAAGGAAAAGGAAAAAAGGAAAAAAGAAAGAAGGCGGGCTATAGAAAAAGTCCTTTGGAACAGAGACCGCTTTTCTGTTTGAACGTTAAGTTGCTTAGAATAACTGATCTTTAGTCTGTGATTGCAGCTTCTAGCGTGCTACCGTAAGGTAGAGAAAGAAAACACCAACTGGAAGAGGACGAAGAAGGATCAGAAGAGCAGCAGCAGCAGCCGCACGCTTTGCAAGGTAACACCAAGGAGATGTGATTGCAGCTCCCAGATTACTGCACGTGGTAGCCGCTGCATTACCTGGGTCGCAGACACAGGAGTAGCTGTCCCAGTCGTCACTGCAGTAGCTGTGCTGAGGACACGGGTTGGAGTCGCAAGGGTTATCCACTTCACAGCCCTCCTTTACATTGATCTTGATAGCCTGTTTCATGTTGAGTGTAGCTACATTTGTAGATGTCTCTCCCATTCTTACTCCCTGGTCACCAAAGACAAGGTTTTTTTTAGAGTCTTCTTTTAGGATACGGTATTATACATCTCACTAACTCCATTAATCCATGAGGTCACACTTAAAAATATGAGCCAAAACATGATTTTTATCAAATGTCTGTCTTTGATCAAACCAGAGAAGCAGAGGAAAAGGGCTGCTCCCCTACAAGCTAAGACCTGTACTTGGGAAAGTGCGTGAGCTTTACTATTTTGATTCTTAGATATTTTGATGGAAGAAATAAAAATGTTTGAGGAGGGGTGAAAAGGTAAAAAAAAACCCCACGTGCCTTCATATGGCCATTTTCTTCTAAGTCCACAGTTAGCTACTA